CAACAGGTTTGGTGGCAAGTGCCCTTGCGCACAAGCCAGAGAGAAATGCAGGCGCAAGGAGTCAAGGCCAGGATCCATCTGTAACTGATCAGGTGCCTTGACGGAGTCTCTGAATCACTAAAGGTTCAGTATCTTCATGTGATAAGAGTGTCAAGGAAGCAGAATAATGTGAAAGCAGAGAAAATTTTAATGACTGCTGCTGAGGAGGCAGAGTATGGAAGAAAACACTAATTTAAGTCAGCAAAGTGTGCCTTCCCGATACCGTCAATTGGAAATATTGGACTAATGATGATCTGGAGGGAATAAAATATTTGTACCCTAGAGTCCATTTCAGTTCCAATATGGTGAGATGTTCAGATGGACCCCATGTGATACTAAATTATGGTTATAATGGAGTCAAACCAAGGTTGAATTTAAAAAGGGACTAGTGTTTGCAAACACTTTGCCTTAAAACCTATGATTGGATACAAGCGCAATATATTTTATTTTGGAGATCATGCATATTGTGTAACCATAGTTTGAATTAAATTTAAATTTCATGACCGTCTGCTTAAAATTATATATTAGGTTTCTGGCCATTGATGTTTAAATAATTATTCCCTGGCTGCTAAATATGTAACTAGTAATACATAAAAGATACAGTACTGAAATGTCTAGGTAAATATATAGTATAGTCCTATTTTATGTGAAATTTGATTGGCAGACATTTGTATAGAATAATGTGAGAAAGACTATATGAGCATATAGCCCTCTAAGCCACCCTATTTAGGTTGCAGCATTTTAAATAATTTCTGTAATTTTTCCACAAAGAACATTTGTTATCTTTGAAAAATCATTTACTTCGAGGTTAAAACCGGAGCTGGAGGAAACTTTCCTTATCAAAAGTTAAGTTGAAACCGTTCTCGTACCTCGTCCATGCAGTTAAACCACCCAGAGGCATTTTGAATGAAGTACGGACACTTCGTTAGGGGCTTTTTCCTATATTAGGAATCTCTCTGAACACTCTCTGTAATATCATGCTTTCCTTTTTCGCATTTTTTTCTTTGAACACTAAGTAGAGGAAATCATAGAGGTTAAAGGTGAAAAGCCTTTTCCATCTACCCATATGATACGTAAGCATAATTTTTTAACCACTTCATTTTATGCCTCTCATGATTTCCAGCAGCTATCAGGGGTCTTAGTTTCATTTTCTATTGAATTATCATGGTTGTTTTCACAGGATGCTGTTCTCAGTGTCTTTTTAACTGGCCTCTGGGCAATCCATCTGACATACAACCAGACTAATATGTTCCTAAAACACCACTTTCATGATGTAACTTTCCTGCTCAAAAATCTTCAATGGTTTCTCTTATTTATAGTCATGATTTTGAAGCTTTTAAATAGTAGAACATTTTTCCCCAAAGAAACCCTTATGTGGAATCCCCATGTATACAACAGATGAAGGGAGTATTTTATTAAAGCCGATCAATAAAACCATGAAGCTGTTTTGATGCACATGAAAAGGAAGATAATTGAGTGTTACGGTTGACACGGAAACTCTTCTGTTTTCAATATATTTCTGTATCTCCTTCTAATTACCTAGATCGGGGGAAAATCTTGATTTATAAAAACAAGTAGGTGGTGTTATTAGAAGGTTTTTTAATAGCTGAGCTTTCAATCGCAATGAATCACAAAGTACATCAAGAGTTTTCCGTGAGGTTTACAATGAAAGTTAATGTGTTGGTGGAAGTCACGGTGTTAAAATGTGATATTTCACACATCTGAGTGTGGGTGCTGATTTTCTTGTCTGTTTCCTTGTTTCTTTTAACTACAGGACTTAATGTTCAGAAAATACGTTTTAAAAATATTTAAGATCCAATTCATCCTTAAAAGCTCATGGGAAGATTTTCACTATCAAATATCTTTTTCTTTTTTAAAAAAAAAAGGCCAGAAAAGGGCCAATTTTGTCTTTCCTGAAGTGGGAAACATTCTACCCTGTTGATTTTGACAAATGTAGAGAATTGTTTTTTTGGTATTCACGCTCTCCTCACTTGGATATTGTGCAGATTTGAGTGCAGCCTGGAATTCTATGGAAATAGGTGTATTTTTCACTACCAGTTGCAAGATCATCTTTTACGGTACTTACTTGGTCTTCAAATCCTCAAGCTCTAGAAAATCGTCTCTTGAATAAACATTAGGATCTAAGGCAGTGATTTTCAACTAGTATGCTGTGAGATGATCTTAGGTGTGCCATGAATGTTCTTAAAAACCATTAATTAAATCATTTCAAATGAAGTTCAAAGTATAGCAAGTTATATTCTTTTTTTCACTCTTTTTTTTAATCAACAGAATTTTTTTTTATTTTTGATCAACAGGCGCCATGAGATTAAAAAGGTGTGCTGTGAGAATAAAAAGGTTGAAAAATACTGATCTAAGGGGTAGAGAATGTTCCTTTAGCCTCAATTCACTTGTTACATGATTTATTATTAGTTCCCTGGCATCTATCCATCTAATGATTTAACCTACATACAAATCATAAGTGTATTTTCGTATCACTTTCACTACTTAAAATTGTGTTTACTTTTTGTCATCATCATACTCTGCCTTTTGTTACTTAACACTTCTTAACACTCTCATTGTCTTTTTGTACTTATTGGTCTAGATAGGGTAACTACTGTTTGAAAACCCTTTAACTAAGCATGCATTCAGCAAACACACAGCAACCTCCCAAGACTGGTAGTCAAAAATAAAGTGAACAGCCCAACTGCAGACGCCATCTGTTGGTGGCAGGCAGAATAGACTCACTACTGCCCCGTAGACTAGCTCTGTTGTGCATGTATGGCAGTGTGTAAGTTGCAAGTTTGGAAACTGAATTTTTCTAAGGGGTTTCTATAGTTGAGAAGTATACTTGTAAAAGGCGATTCAAATGTATTTTAAAACACAATTCAAATCAAGGATTAAGAAAACATAACTGTCATGTTAGAATGAGGGTTAGCAAACTTATCCTGTGAAGGACTGGAGAGTAAATATTTTAGACTGCGCAGATCATAACATCTTGATTGTAACTGCTCAGCTCTGGGGCTGTAGCACAAAAACAGCCATAGACAATATGTAAACAAATGGACAGCACTGTGTTCCATTCAAACATAATTTATAAAAACAGGCTATGGGCTAGATGTGGCCCACAGGCTATATAGTTGGCTGACCTCTGAGTTCACGAATAAGTGATTCCTGTTTGTATTACTCAGTGTACATTAATAAATAAATAATCATTATGCTAGATTAAAGATGGCCACAAAGTCTTTGCTACTTCTACTGACAGATGGGTTCCAATCCCTTCCCGTTGATCAGGGCTGTCCTTCACGACTTACCTGATCAACAGAATGCTGTGGAAATGTCATTCTGGGATTCTGATGCTAGATAAGATTTACAGCTTCTTTCTTCCTGGACTTCTTAGAATGCTTGTTTTAGAGAGGCCCCCACCACTTAATAAGACTCACAACTCCAAAGCTGCCATGTGATAAAGAAGTACAAGTTATACGGCAAAGCCCTGAGGGATGAGATACCCCATGGTGGGGTGAGGAAGGGTCACGAAGGAGCATCAGGGTGCCAGGGCCAGGTATGTGAGTTAGGACGCCATCTTGGAATGGAACCTCTGGTTGAGCCTCCCCAGGTGGTGTCTGTGTAGAACAGAATCAAGCTGCCCCCACCATAGTCTGAATTGCAAAGTGACCTAAATAAATGTTGTGATTGGTTTTGGCCATTAAGGTTTGGAGTGTTCTAGTGAGCTTGAGGACTTCAGATTTATCATGGAAAAACAACCATGAGCACACAACAAGCTTTACCTGGGAAATGCTCGGACTGGCTGCATGTGAGGGGCCATCCGGTGCAGCAGAAGGTCTTCCAGAGATAGCAGTAAGGGGCCAGCACCAGAGGGGCAGAGGGCATAAGACATTCTGGGGCACAAGGGAATCAGAGAGCAGGCTGGTGTGTCTGGGTGATACTGCTCAGCTGCACTGTGGGTCAGAGACCTGGGAAGGGAATAACAGATTAATTGCTTATAGCACTAGGGTTTGTCATATGTGTACTGAGCAGATATTGGGTGTGGTTTATGGAGTATGCAAAACAGGTGGGCTCTAAATGATTGATGATACGTTTATTTGGGCTATAATTTACAAAAATTGGATGTGTTGAAGAAAGTTTGAGTTTAGTGGCAGTGGGCTTTGAGTTAATAGTTCACAGTGAGGCAGTATACAACAGGGGAGCCAATATACAAGGGACCTTTGGTTTATTTATATCGTGGGTGGTTTATTACACAGTGACACAGGAGATAACTAGAATAGGGCTATGCTATATTGCAGTCTATTTTGGGTATCTGTATTCTGTTTGCCCAATTAGATTCCACGTTTGTTTAACAGGGGTCCTCAAACTTTTTAAACAGGGGGCCAGTTCACTGTCCCTCAGACTGTTGGAGGGCCGGACCACAGCCCCAGGATGAGTCAGCTGCTAAGCAGGACAGGTAGCTGAGGCAAATACAACCAGCGGGCAGATAAATGTCCTGGGTGGGCCGCATGTGGCCCTCGGGCTGTAGTTTGAGGATGCCTGGTTGAGCCCATAGGGGATGTCTTAAATGACTTGTGTTATATAATGCAAAGGATTTAACCCAATGCTTTGTAAAGAGCTGCCAAGTAGTAAAGATTTCTTAAATGGTGCAAATTTACAGGTATCTCAGTGGCTAAAGAAGTCATTATCCTGCTTGTTAGGCATAAAAGAAAGGGGTCTATTGGCATACAGAGTGAAAATTTTCTGGAATCAGTGAAAGAGGGCACTTTTTGCAACATTTTGAGGCTGGATCTGGAATGTATCTTTTGCTCTGTTGATCAGATCATATTCTTTGGAATCTACTGATAGTTACTAACAGTTGCACATGGTTTTTAACATGTAAGTAAAATTATTTGGCACTGATGAGCCAAATAATCTTTTTCAGTCCCATTTGAACTCTTGGCCACACTTAGAAGATGATTCTTAGAAGATTATTTGTAAGTGTGATGACTGGGTGCTCACACACATACGTGAGATTTGCCTCCCTTAAGCCTTGTCATGATGTCGGCACATTGCTCATCAGACGTGCAGAAAACAGAGAGCTCTGTGCTACACCTGACATTAGATCGCGTGCACATTCTATTTAAGTAGATTTTAATTCCTGCAGTTATATTGATAGAGACATCAATTTTGTTAACTAGCAAAATGCCACCCAGACTTATATCTATGTAATCAATGTGAGTTTTAAAAATTTAAATCATAAATGATTGATGAAACTACTATTATGAACAGAGAACCATCTGGGTTACTATAGAGGCCATGGAGATTAATAAGACTCAAGGCCTGCCCTCAAAGGGGTTATAATCTAAGCAAGGATAATTGTGAAAATAAGCACTAAGGTAAAGAAGAATAAAATCAATTTTATAGGAGAGGAATAAACATGGAGATTAAGTGGACAAAAAAAGTTTCAAGGAAAAAGTGAATTTTAGGATGAGTTTTGCAGATAAATATGATTTCGAGAGACCGACAGTATTTAAACTTTCAAATCACTTACTCGAATAAACTTTTATTATGTTTATAATCATGTATTACTTAAAAATTTTAGCTGCTTCTCTTTAAGAGTTGTGAGCAACACAAAGATTTGTGAATACTTCTATGCTATTTGAAATAAATGAAGTGTATGGGCATACTCTTAAAATATAAAGAATGATATGAGAGGCTTCTGTATGCTGTCGGTCATAGAAAGCTCTGAGCACCTGTACAGCAGAGGGTGGGCCGGACTCACAGCACTGTACTTTGACAGTTGTCCAGACACCACAGACAGATGAGAGAGAGAGTACACACGTACCTGCACACTTCTGTGTGTTCGGAAGTAGTAGAAGACAAAACTGTAGAGGCAGTTTTGAATGACAACATCTTGTGAACCATTTGCTAGATAATAGGGAGTTAAGGAAAGTTTCTGAGGAAGGGACTGCTGTGACTGGAAGTGGGATTTGTGAAGACTAAGTGGCTTGTGGGAAGCAGGAACCTGGCCGCGTGGAGGTTTGTGGTCTGTAGGAGAACACTGTTGACCTTACTACAATTGATGAGGAGATGAAAGGCCATGATAGCTTAAACGAAAGTGATGGCCACAGGCAGGAAATGCTTAAGAGAGCTGTGAAATATCTTGTTTTAACTTGGACTCTGGACTGGAGGAGGAGAGATCCATTATGGGAGCTAAAACAAAAGTGGGTGGCAGTATTTTAAGGTATAAGGAACTTTTGTGAGGATCCAGGAAGAGCGATCATTTCAGAAGGGCCTCGGAGGAATCGCAATTGGAAGCCAACTGCGTCATGCCCCACATGGCTCTGAGGAGAAGCCTCACTGCTTGCCTCCAGGTGCCCCTGAACATCCTCTCCCTTCTCTGTGCCCCCTTGACCATCTTCCTATACCTACTCAGAATTTTCCAGCTCATAACTTCAACTCACATGTAGTTTTATTTGCCCAGAACTCTACAGCCCTAACTCCAACCTATGAACCCTCAGCTTCAACTTCTCTGGCTCATTGACAATAGTCTCTCGGCCTTCTCATTCTAAAATTCCTTCAAGCAACAGCTAATTGACTCAGGTCTTCTCTCCTAAGGTCCCTGGCAGGGTGGATCACATCTAACTAAATCACTGAGGTCAGTGGCAGGCTGGGGTCGGGCCCGTACAGGGTACATGATGTAGAACTTGATAGTCAAGGCCTGCTCCTCTATTCAGAGATTGTGGAGTGGGAAGAAAGGGTTAAATGTCTTATCAATTTTCGCTTATTGTCATCTCGATAACTGGTTACGTGGAATTTCAGAATTTGAGCCTAGAAATCTGGAAGAAAAGTGGTGACATTAACTAAAATAAGGAGAGTACATGGGCAAGCCAAGTTTGTGGGACATGGTGAGTTAGGATACTGATTGGATAATAATATGAAGATATTCCTGTTGGATTTTCTTAAAACTGGATAACAGGAGTTCTTGAGGCAGGACTGAGTTGTAAATGTGGATCTTCAGGACAGTCTTTCTTTCTGAATGTAGCTAAACAGTTGCTGAAATGATTATCTAGTAAATAAATTTCAAACGTGATTAACTAAAACCTTTTAATTGCTTAATAACTGCTGATAAGTGATTCCCTGTCTCTAAGCCCATTAACCTCAAAAAAATTGATCCTCGCACAAAAGTGGCAAGTAGGCTGACCGTATCTTTGAACTTGGAGTGTTTAATGCAAAATTGTCCAGACATCTCGTGGGTTGAAGGAGTAAATAAAATTTATAAGAGATAGACAGTTGCTTCATTGCTAAACTATTGTAATTCCAGATACCTTGACCTGAAAGATGAGTTATAGAGTAAGAAACTTTAGGTCAGGCACAGTAGCTCACACCTGTAATCCCAGTACTTTGGGAGATGGGAAGCAGGGGGTAGAATTGCCTGACGCCAGACATTCAGGACCAGCCTGGGCAACATAGTGAAACCCAAGAAAGAAAAGAATCTTGGGGCAGAGAGTGCACTTTATTTTTAGAGCCTTGTTCAGAGAAATAATCATAGTGTGAGCTGATGACACTTTGAATGTTCAAGGTCGTTTCTTGCTGTAACATATTCTGATTGAGCCTTTCTAGAGAAGGGACACTCAAATCCCAATGAAAGACTCCAGTAAGTTTTCAAATTGTTCTCATCACTGGAAATGTCTTCCTTAAAGTAAGTCAGATTCTGATGCCTTTAACTACACTCATTGATCCTAGTTCTTCCCTTTGAAGCTACTCAGCATAGAAGTCCGTTTCTTCCGTCATTTTCCCACTGATAAGATTTCCTCTCCCTCACCATCTTCTTATCCTTCTGAATATACTGAGGACTGGTTTAGCTCATTCCCTAATGTGTTCTGAGGAAGAATACTCGAGCACACTTCTAAACGCAGTGGCCTAGAGTTCCTCAAGGGTAACAGAACACTGGGACCAGCTTTTCAAAAGTTGTAGAATAAATGACATTAGATATTTTATCAAAAAACAATCATGGTGGTAATGACAACAAATACACATGTAGAGCTCCGGAGTTTCCAAAGCCCTCTCCTAGTTGGCCTTTCACCCCATCCCTATTTATATTAGTGGTCTTACTCCTGATACTAACTCCTCATGATCTAAGGAAAAGTCAGAACAGATAACTGGGTGTGGTTTGATATAAGGAAAACAGAAGAAAACTACTACTCGCCGATACTAACCTGATGTGCTTCGAAGTATTTTTTTAAATCTATAGTTAGGGCTTGGCGCCTATAGCTCAACCGGCTAAGGCGCCAGCCACGTACACCTAAGGTGGCGGGTTCGAATCCCCAGCC